TTGCTTTTCCAACCTTTGTTTTAGCACTGGTGTCTCATTTTTTGGCCTATCTGCACCTGTGTCCGCTTTGGCTTTCTCGTTTTTTGCACTGAATTCATTTAGTAATTCTGGATATATTTTCTCCTCACTTGTAATCTCAGGTTTAGTCTGAAGCTCAGTGTTTGCTGTATCTGTTTCACACGAATGTGATTTTTCTGAAGCTCTCTGAACTGATGTAATTTCAGACTCTGGCTTCATTTCAGATTCTGTTAACACTTTTGCTGTACCGACACGGGCCTCAACCTCTTGTGCTGCACCAATTCTGTCAAGTACTTGCTTTTGTTCCTCCTTCTTGAGTATTAATCCTTCACTCACTTTATCCTCAACTTCAGCAAGTATTTCTCCATTCTCATGGACGTGAGAGTCAATTTCTAAGGCTTTAGATGCAGAATGTTCAGTTTTAGTAGCATCTGTTGTGATTGTTTCAGTCTCTTCTAAAGGCTTGACCTCTGCTTTCAAAGGTTCTTCAGTTTTAGGAGGTTCTGCTTTATCTAACAGAGGTTCTTTGATACTGATAATCTCTTGAGAAAATATTTCTGGTGGTTCTCGTTTGACTATGTCTTTATCAGTCCTTTGAGTTATATTTGGCTCTATAATTTTGTCTTGTGTCTTGGATTTATTAGTCTTTCCTTTGTCATTTGTCTCAATGTCAGCGATGACATCAGCTGCTTCGTGACGTTTATCCGCACTGGTCTCAGAAACACTAATGTTTTCAACTGCATGTGGTGCATCAGCCTGGATTTTCTCTGAGCTCTTTGTTTCAGGCAGAATTTCAAATTCATCTTTAGCTTTAATAACATCTTCATGCGCTAAACCCCCAGGCACTTGAATATGAGCATTCGGACTTATTTGTTCTTGTCCACTGTGTTCTTCTTTATTGGCGGTTTTGCTTTCTGGCTCAAGGACTTGAACCACTTTATGAGGTCGTGTGTCATCAGTGTCGCTTTTTTTTGTGATACTGTCCTTGATAAAATCACATTGCTTTTCATCTGTCCTACTATGCTTCGCAACTAAGTCGTCTGATGTGACCTTTCTTCTAATGATCTTTTCCACCTCTGGTTGGATTCTTGGAGCACAGTGCCCCTCTGAACAACACCCTGTGGACTCACACTGCACTTCACTTTCCTTTTTATCCTGCACACATGGTTGTTCGGCAGTTACTTCATCATTTTCTTCTTGTGCTCTTTCTAAACATCCAGTGATTTCAAATTTACTTTGTGACCATGCAAACTTTCCCCCATCTTCCTGCTCTTTAGCCTCAGGTACATTAGCAACCACTGGTGTTTCATCCTTCAATATGAATTTCTCCAGATAACCATCTCCGTCATCAGAATCAGAGTATCGCCTTTTGAAAGACCTTTCAGAAACGACACTCTCTGTATCTGAGAAGTCATCTTCTTTCTTTCGGTCTCCTAATGCGTCCTCATAAAGGTCTGAGTAATGGAAGGACATTGCTCGTGGCTCCTCAAGAAGAACTGGGTCTATGATCTTTGGTGGTCCGGTGGGGAGATATACAGGTGTGAGGATACATTCCTGACTTCCAAATAAGACTGATCCACTCTCTTTCAGAGTTTTAGAGCTCTCTTTTGCTGTTCTTCCATTTCGGTCCTCATACTCATGGGGAACCACAGGCTCTGCATTGAACTTATTTCCATAGAACACTTCATCAAGATGTTCACCTGCAATTTCAACATCACTGATAATTACAAAAGAATCCTCATCAATGGCTTCATCTGCTTTTGGTTCATTCTGAGTCACCTGAGGTTCCTCTGGCTGGACAGTAACTTCTGGTACAAGTTTTTCTATCAGTGTAGTGCTATCACTAGTCGCCTGCTCATCTAACAATGTGAATTTTTCAAGATAGTCCATATGAGTTTCATCCTTTTTTGGTTGCTTATCAGCAGAGATCTGGGATGATTCCTTCAAGCTTTCATTTTGCTTTATTTCCTCAATGTCTGTCTCTGTGTTCCCAGGACAACTGTTTGTAGCAACAGGTTCATGCTTATGTTTGGATTTTATCTTTGGGGTATCATCCAAGTAGGTCAAATTCTCCACCAGTTCACCACTATCTTCCTCATCTACTGTAGCAAGCTTTGAAGGTACAATAATATTGAGTATTTCAAAACCTTCTGATATCAAACTAAAAAGATCTTGATCCTTGCTTGCAGCAGATTGACCGTCCTCATTGTTTTCAGATCTGATATTCGGCAGAGACACCTCAATCATTGCAGGTCTTTCCTCACCTATCCGACTTTTTGGTAGTCTGGTGCTCGACTTTTTAAATCGGTCACCCAGCTTGCCTCTGCTGCTTGTCTTTTTCCTCTTAATTCTGTCTTCATCCATTATGATCACAATATTCCCCTGTGTTCCAGAACCTTCCAGGCTGTACTGTTCAGACGGCGAGCTTCCCTCTGAAGCCCATGGAGTTGAGCATCTACTGGAAGCAGTCTCCCATACTATC